TAAAACATTCTGTTCCCCAGGTGAGGATCGAACTCACAACCTCGGCATTGCTCGCTAACACTGTTCTATAAGTACCGCGCGCTAACCAGTTGCGCCACTGGGGACCGAGACAAAGAATCCTCTTTAATTTAAAACAATCATAAAGGAACGTAAACAACACCATTCATTGCAAAAAAAATGTCTTCGTTCCTTTGGAACGAAATTCCAATTCCTCCTCCTATTATGAAATAAACCTCTCTTTCCCTAATAAAGTTCTAAATTCAAACAATGAGAAGCTCTTAAAGTTCGAAAAGTAAAACATTCTGTTCCCCAGGTGAGGATCGAACTCACAACCTCGGCATTGCTCGCTAACACTGTTCTATAAGTACCGCGCGCTAACCAGTTGCGCCACTGGGGACCGAGAACAAAGAATCCTCTTTAACTTAAAACAATCATAAAGGAACGTAAACAACACCATTCCATTGCAAAAAATATTCCTTCGTTCCTTTGGAACAAAATTCCAATTCCTCCTCCTATTATGAAATAAACCTCTCTTTCCCTAATAAAGTTCTAAATTCAAACAATGAGAAGCTCTTAAATTTCGAAATGTAAAACATTCTGTTCCCCAGGTGAGGATCGAACTCACAACCTCGGCATTGCTCGCTAACACTGTTCTATAAGTACCGCGCGCTAACCAGTTGCGCCACTGGGGACCGAGAGCAAAGAATCCTCTTTAATTTAAAACAATCATAAAGGGAACGTAAACAACACCATTTGATTGCAAAAAAAATGTCTTCGTTCCTTTGGAACAAAATTCCAATTCCTCCTCCTATTATGAAAACCTCTCTTTTCTATTAAGTTCTAAATTCAAACAATGAGAAGCTCTTAAATTTCGAAATGTAAAACATTCTGTTCCCCAGGTGAGGATCGAACTCACAACCTCGGCATTGCTCGCTAACACTGTTCTATAACTTCCGCACGTTAACTATTTGCGTTACTGAGGACCGAGAGCAAAGAATCCTCTTTAATTCAAAACATTTATAAAGGAACGTAACACCATTTCATTGCAAAAAAAATGTCTTCGTTCCTTTGGAACAAAATTCCAATTCCTCCTCCTATTATAAAACCTCTCTTTATCTATTAAAGTTCTAAATTAAAAAAATTAGAAGCTCTTAAATTTCGAAATCTAAAACATTCTGTTCCCCAGGTGAGGATCGAACTCACAACCTCGGCATTGCTCGCTAACACTGTTCTATAAGTACCGCGCGCTAACCAGTTGCGCCACTGGGACCGAGAGCAAAGAATCCTCTTTAATTAAAACAATCATAAAGGAACGTAAACAACACCATTTAATTGCAAAAAAAATGTCTTCGTTCCTTTGGAACAAATTCCAATTCTTCCTCCTATTATAAAATCATCTCTTTATCTACTTAAGTTCTAAATTCAAACAATGAGAAGCTCTTAAATTTCGAAATGTAAAACATTCTGTTCCCCAGGTGAGGATCGAACTCACAACCTCGGCATTGCTCGCTAACACTGTTCTATAAGTACCGCGCGCTAACCAGTTGCGCCACTGGGGACCGAGAACAAAGAATCCTCTTTAACTTAAAACAATCATAAAGGAACGTAAACAACACCATTTCATTGCAAAAAAAATGTCTTCGTTCCTTTGGAACAAAATTCCAATTCCTCCTCCTATTATGAAAAACCTCTCTTTCTCTAATAAAGTTCTAAATTCAAACAATGAGAAGCTCTTAATTTCGAAATGTAAAACATTCTGTTCCCCAGGTGAGGATCGAACTCACAACCTCGGCATTGCTCGCTAACACTGTTCTATAAGTACCGCGCGCTAACCAGTTGCGCCACTGGGGACCGAGAGCAAAGAATCCTCTTTAATTCAAAACAATGATAAAGGGAACGTAAACAACACCATTAATTGCAAAAAAAATGTCTTCGTTCCTTTGGAACAAAATTCCAATTCCTCCTCCTATTATGAAAAAACCTCTCTTTCTCTATTAAAGTTCTAAATTCAAACAATGAGAATCTCTTAATTTCGAAATGTAAAACATTGTGTTCCCCAGATGAGGATCGAACTCACAACCTCGGCATTGCTCGCTAACACTGTTCTATAAGTACCGCGCGCTAACCAGTTGCGCCACTGGGGACCGAGAGCAAAGAATCCTCTTTAATTCAAAACAATTATAAAGGAACGTAAACAACACCATTTCATTGCAAAAAAAATTCCTTCGTTCCTTTGGAACAAAATTCCAATTCCTCCTCCTATTATGAAAAAACCTCTCATTCTCTATATAAGTTCTAAATTCAAGCAATGAGAAGCTCTTAATTTCGGAATTTAAAACATTCTGTTCCCCAGATGAGGATCGAACTCACAACCTCGGCATTGCTCGCTAACACTGTTATATAAGTACCGCGCGCTAACCAGTTGCGCCACTGGGGACCGAGAGCAATGAATCCTCTTTAATTCAAAACAATGATAACGGGAGTGTTAACAACACCATTTCATTGCAAAAAAAAATGCCTTCGTTCCTTTGGAACAAAATTCCATTTCCTCCTCTTATTATGTGGAGAACCTCTCTTTCTCTATTAAAATTATAAATTCAAACAAGGAGAATCTCTGAAATTTGTAAATGTAAAGCAATTTTTCCCCATTTCAGGATAGAACTCACAGCCTCTGTCCTGTAAGTACCGCGTGCTAAGCAGTGGTGCCTTTATGTTCATTAAGAAGCTAACGTCTTTAAAAGAAAACTAAAACAAGGGTGTTGTAAAAATCTTTCTTTCACTAAGAAAAAAAATTCCTTGCAGCTTTAGTTCAAAGCTTGATTTCCTGCCCAATTTAAATTTTATAGTTCTTCGAGTGATGTAGTTTGGCTAAACTCTGTGTTAGTTTTAGGTCTGACTGATGAAGCATTATTTGTGTAGGATATTATATATTCTTTTTTTATCTATATATATGTCATTTTTTTTAAATAGTGCATATCCATTATATACGATTATTACAGAGAGGTTTTGACCACGTTTAAAATAAATATATTGTTAGTTTCATTTACCATAAACTAATATTGACAACAGGATGAATGGTTTGAAAGAATTTTTGAAGAACTGTTCATAGATAGTAGAGATTTCATTCAGTATTATACTTAACTAATTTTTTCTGGAAAATAGATTTATACTATTTTCATAGTAAACGTCACATATATCTTCTTCTTTATGATTATTTTTTAAGAAGTTTCATTTTTATTTAGTTTTTTTATATATTTATTTTTTAAATATATTTGTTTTTAATCATGGAGCTTTGATTTCTTTAAATATTAACAACTGATTTTTAATGGAATATTTTATTGCACGTTTTAACTCATTTTTTTTCTATTGCCCTTTTTACTTTTTTTTTTTTACTTAAACAGGACAATGTGGAAGTGGATAGCACCGAAGCTCTCCTGAATGCCATTCATCATTTAAAAACTCTTTCCGAGGTAGAGAATGATCCTGCAGGTGACGTTCCACTATTTTTCAATCATTTCATTTTGAAGCAAAGTATATTTTTGTTTCTTAAAAAGAAACATTTCCTTCTAAACTTTTAGGGCCAGAAATCTTGCAAGGAATAAGATAAATTTCAATAATCGCCAAAACCTAAGCACTTCAGGCTTTGATGTCCTTATTGTATTTCGACCGACACATTTGTGCAAATATGTGTCGAATCATAATTGAATCAATGAGGATTTCGTCTTATGACTTCAGAGAGGATTCTTTAAACTAAATGTTTTACAGAAAACTTAAAGGAACTCTCCAAGCCGTAAGTCCACGATAACCTATTGGTCAAGGTCACGCACCCATGGCTGGCGTGTCATGAGTTCGAGCCTAGTATTGCTGAAGACCCAACGTGCAGAGGGACCGATGCACGTTAAATTACTCCGTTGGTGTGTTGTGGGAGTTAGGAGAAGGGGTGCCATCTCAGGTGTCATCTTTGTCACTTGACCACTGTTCAAAATGGCGAGGTCGTTTTTAAAGGTCCTCGAGTATGTGAATAGTGCAACATTAATATTCACTCACTCACTCACCCTGCAACTCAAATTTTCTGATCCTAGTCAGAACTGATACGAGCATTGTCATTACTTATTATATTCCCCTTATTTTTAGAGACTTATGATTGTGTTCCGACAGCTATCCTTAACAGTTTTTATAGACAAAATAAATTTTTTGGGTGTCGAAACTATTAGAATTTTTTTTATTGCTGATTTAGTGATAAATTAAGTCGTATTTTCAGGGCCACAGTAACCTAGTGGTCATGGTCCTGGTCATGGACTCGTGACCGGCGTGTCATAAGTTCGAGTTCTGATGCCACTGACGACCCGCCGTGTAGGATGATGGTGATACACGTTAAATCTGTTGTGGCCCAAACTCCTCTCGTTGCCATGGTGTAAAAATTAAAAGAGAGAAGCTCAGATGTCGTTTTAATCTTAAATATCTGTTATTGTAGCTTATTGTTGTTTCATGATACAGAAACTTCTAGATTTTTCTTGTGCAACGTTCTGCAAAGACTATTTCTGTAAGGCGGACTATTTTTCTCCTGAATAGCAGCTTGTGTACCCTAAGGGTTACTCAAAGTAACACTTGGAGGTACACCAAAGAAGTTCACGATGACTTGTGAGTGTAGAATCGTTTATCACGTGAGTGAGAGACTTTCTCATTGGTGGCTGTGCTATTTCATTGGTGTTTGCAGTGCCGATTTAAGCTCATTTCGGGTCCTGGCCACAGAAGATCTACAGAAACCCCTGGCACAGGAGGATCGCAATTTATTACCAGAAAATTTGGTTATCCTTGGCACTGGAGGATCAAAATTTATTACCAGAAAATTTGGTTATCCGTGGCACTGGAGGATCGAAATTTATTACCAGAAAATCTGGTTAAGTTCAGTTTATCCGGGCCCCTAAGTGCCTGCCCCAAACGCCCAATGTATAAACCGGCACTGGGTGTCTGTGGAACTTATCCTCATAAATGCATTGTCTTTAAACCGCATTCATACGAAACCTTTTATTATATTCAAATGATATCTTGTTGGGTACAGCTTATAATTGTTTTGGTTTTAGGGGTGCGTGATCGAGGTTTGTACCTTGATTATTGCTCTAGGGTCACAACACATGAGATACTTATTGCTACATAGCAAAACAATCAATAATCGAATTAATTGTTACCTTAATTTGTTGTCGAAACTTGATACTAAAAAAAACGCAAGATTCAAACAAAACACATAGTTGGAAAACTAAATAATGCGTTTTTTTTTTAGATAAAAATTAGTTGGCATGAAGGATACGGTTTTTCTCGACCAGAAACATTACCACTGTATTAATACGTAAAGAATCAAAGAGACAATCGTGGAAAATTGGTGTATTTTCTCTCATTCCTGAAGAGAGAAGTGAAAGTTACATTCACGTCACACGATAAAGCCACACATGGACTATTGGGACAGATTTTAATATTGAATCATGGTCAAGTAACGAGGACGACACCTAAGCTGGCATCACTTTCTTCAAACTTTCACACCACGCTAATAAGAGGATTTTGAGCTCGACAGATTTAACCCTCCACACCAGGGGTACTCAATATTTTTTTCTGCTGGGCCGCATTCATATAATGGCTATTTCACGCGGGCCGCAACATGAGGATTAATGAAGGGGAGGGGGAATGTTTTAAGATCAAGGATAACATAGAAAATGTAAAATGAGGGAATTGATCAAAATATTTAAAGTCCTTTTTTGCTTTTTTTAATTATTATTTTTTTACATTTTTTTTATTTTTGTCACTGGATTTTTCTAAATTGGAAGCATTTAAGACTCACTTTTCCACAATTTCTGCATCAGTAAACGGTTTCATATGATTACCAATGATATAACAAATTTCATAGGGTGACTTTTGTTATCTCTGTGACATTACCACTGACAAAACATTTTTTTGCTGTTATAAAGATTATTCAAAAAGCCTATTTATC